AGGTGTAGACACAAAAGAGGAGAGCGTCGATGGCAACAAAATGAAGGCATTTTTTGTATCACCATCGTTCTTCCGTGATTCTATGGCGATGTGATGGAAAAATTCATGAGCCTAAATAGGGGGAAAAGGGAGTCTACTGAATCATGGCCTTCAGGTCCATCATTCCATCAATCCCAATCTTAGCTCATCAATGATATAAATGCTCGTATTAGTCCTGTAGTTAGGATTTCTTGTCCAAAAAGATAATTAGATTATCCACACACACATGTTCTGTTTATTGTTTGGGTTGTCCATAATTAGTTTATTATATTTATTTTTTTTGGGAATGATAGTACTATTTATGTTAGTTTTGTAAAAATGGATTTTTTTGAGAATTAAGAGCAAAAAATTAAGCATATCGAATGAAGTGTAATGATTGCCAAATGGTAATTTCCATGCTTGAGCAGTCATATATACCCATCAGCATGTGCTTATTTAGGTGGAGGTCATGGCTTATTAGCAATATAAATTCACTTTATTTTAGGTAAGAATTATGTGCTCTTAACTAAATTGTACGCGGCCACCATTCAATGATTTGGTTAATCTAACGCAATATTTCATTTTTTTTTATATTCAGGTTTATGATCGACATTAATAATGTTCTCTGATACATACAGTCAGTCGAAAAAGAACGATTAAGTTTCATAAATCGAAACGTTAATGTTTTCCACGCAGAGAAGTGAAACAACAAACACAGGAAAAAGATAAGCAAGCCAAATGATACCATCATCAAGTCATACAAGCAAAGTAGGTTCTGCGACGACACATCGATCATGATACTCCTATGGATCATGATACTCCTATGGAAACGAAGAGACTTTAAAGGGTGGCTATCGATTCCTGCAATAAGTAGAACCCGAACACCCACGGGTGTAAGCCCCCCCCTTGGCAGACGTGGCCGCCGGTTGGCCGGCATTCCCCACGGCACGGTAGACTATGTGCTGGGCCGTCGCCATCTCTGGATCCAACCACTCAATGCCGCCAGCGACGCCGTCGAACATGGTGGTGTTAGATGGCTGGACATAACCCACATCCATAGTACCTGCAGCAGCAGCAGCAGAGAGTAGAATGAGGAGGGTCACGCACAAGAAGCAGTGGACTCTTACCATCTCAGTAGCTCCCATTGCCTTCACCTACGCTATGGAAACATGCGACTCTATTTATTGCAGAAGAGTGAAAGCAACAGATCACCGAACTCGGCATGCGTGGTTCATGATCGACATCTTGACAGGGAAGCATGTCTCACTGCATTATTGAGGGAGAACGAAAGCAACATATCACCAAACAGAATCATTGGAGGATTAATTTATGGGGTGAATCAAGAAACTGCATCTTGTATAAATTGATGGTGTAAGAACTTTTAGAAGGATTACATCTGATCCAATTAAATTCAAGAAAATTAAGATCGATAAACAACAGCAATTGCCACAGAAGGAGCAGTGATAGAAACCCAAAAAAAAGAATGTAAACATCCTTTAAAAGGAATGAAAAATAATGCTTTAGAAATATCATATATCTTTAGTTAAGAAAATAGTTTTTCCAGTGTGT